GGGATCGTCGGTTCGAATCCTACTGAAAGAAGTCTGATGAGGAAATGTGGTGATTTCCGAAATAGCTATCAGTACTACCATTTTTTCAAATTATTGTTGCTTTTCCACAATAAATTTTCATTTAAAAAATGGCCTCGAGCTCATTATAAAATTGTTGAATATAATTGTTAAAAGGCCAAAAAAATAACAAAAAACAAATAACTTAAGGACGAGCACACCTAAAAGTTAAGCATTCTAAAAATAGAATTATTAGCACAAACCAACAAAACCAACAACCACATGATCAAGTGAATTGCAGCGGAATAGCTGCGCTTGATTGTAGTTGGCTTAGCAAAGTGAAATAGTGGAAAATAAGCAACAAGAATTAACAAGACAAACTTAGCACAGTGCGTAGGCAACTGGCTGAGTCAGTGGTGATCGTCGGTTCGAATCCTACTGAAAGAAGTCTGATGAGGAAATGTGGTGATTTCCGAAATAGCTATCACTTCTACAATTTTTTCAAATTATTGTTGCTTTTCCATAATAAGTTTTCACTTAAAACGGCCTCAAGCTCATAAAAATTGTTGAATATAATTGTTATAAGGCCATAAAAATAACAAAAACAAATATAAGTATTTATAATATATTTCTCCACAAAATTGTGCTATAAGATTTTTTTTCTTGCAAAATACTAAATGAATTTATTAAACCAAAAGCATTTTGCATACATTGTTAAAATTAAAATCCAGAAAATCTAAATACAAATATTAAAACAAAATATTAATTTCCATAAGCAATTAATATGTAATTATGTATAATTCAATCAAATATCCTCATAAGTTATTTACAGAAATAATTACATAATTTTATTTCACAAATACGATACTTTGCCAATAAAATAATTATTAATAAATAAATTAAGTAGTAATAATTAAGTTAATAAAATAACTTTTATTTAAATATTTAATAATTGCCATAACTTAAATTGCTTTGAACGAACGTATGAAATAGTGAGGAATATCCCTTAATAATTTCTTAAATTCGTTTCTTCAAAACAATTTAAATCTAAGTATAAATTTTGGGCAGGAAGAATATGACAAACTTGATCACTTTGCCTAATTCTTCTTTTTCCAAAGGAGAGTGATGTAATGCGTTGAAAGCATATAATTTTAAAACCCTACAAATTAATACAAATCACCTTATATGAATTCACCTTAAAGTTAATCTACTACTATTAAGAATTTACGACATTCGGATGCGACCCTGTCGTATGTATGACAGCTGCTAGGCTTAAGTCAAAGAGTAGAAAATAAATTGGCGGCACTCGCCCGCGTCCCTTTCAACCGAAAAGTTTGGTTTCGTTTTTTACAAATATATTGGGCTACTTTTTTTGGCTGCAAGTCAAGTGCAAACGAGCGGCACTAAGCAGGCGTTGGCCGGCATTAGCGCCGGCGGAACACCAAAGCTCCGCGCGAAGTAAGCAAGCAGCACTGCCCATTACGGCAGCTCCCTGAAAACGAGCGTTGGCCGGCAGCAGCGCCGGCGGAGCACCAGGGCTCCGCGGAAGATCTAAAGCAGGTATGCCCCCCTGCAACTAAAATATGTGTAATAAAGACACATCACAAGTTACGTAATTCTTACCTAATTAAAGGTCAGACCTATAGCTCTTTAATTATTTTAGCATCGATTCTCTTTATAGCTAAATGTTGAAAATTTTTGCTGGAAACCCCTATTGAAGGAGCTTAAGCTTTGGGTTTAAATAGCAAAGGGAGGATTTTAACCAAGGATCCAATGTACATATGTATTTCTCGTGTGTGAATCGTTAACAAAGTTTGCGGCAAGTAAATGACAAGTACGAGGTGAATAAAATTTCAGTAGCTCATGAGGCTAGTGAAATTTTTAACAAATGCATAGAAAATTTTGACTATCGCAAATTTTGTTGCTANGGGGGGGGGGGGGGGGGGGGGGGGGGGGGGGGGGGGGGGGGGGGGGGGGGGGGGGGGGGGGGGGGGGGGGGGGGGGGGGGGGGGGGGGGGGGGGGGGGGGGGGGGGGGGGGGGGGGGGGGGGGGGGGGGGGGGGGGGGGGGGGGGGGGGGGGGGGGGGGGGGGGGGGGGGGGGGGGGGGGGGGGGGGGGGGGGGGGGGGGGGGGGGGGGGGGGGGGGGGGGGGGGGGGGGGGGGGGGGGGGGGGGGGGGGGGGGGGGGGGGGGGGGGGGGGGGGGGGGGGGGGGGGGGGGGGGGGGGGGGGGGGGGGGGGGGGGGGGGGGGGGGGGGGGGGGGGGGGGGGGGGGGGGGGGGGGGGGGGGGGGGGGGGGGGGGGGGGGGGGGGGGGGGGGGGGGGGGGGGGGGGGGGGGGGGGGGGGGGGGGGGGGGGCGGATCGCAAACTCGGACCGCCGCGACGCTGGGCACTTTCAAAATTGTATACTTACAAAACCATCCATTTAACTACCATTTGTCAAATGTAACGGGGTGACTACCTACATATCGCACACCGTCTTAAAAAGAGTCACAACTCAAAATAATACGTTTCTCAGAAAATGCGAAAGACTATTTCGTAGCACATGACAATAATATGGGCAAGGGCGACTTTACCTGAGGTTTTTTTAA